CCCCCCCCCCCCCCCCCAGGCCTCGGGACAGTGCTGCCCTTAACCAACCAAGGGAAGACGGGTTAGAGGCCACCCGGGTGGAACCACTGTCTCAAGCCACAGCTGGAACTGGGGCCGAGTTGGTGGCTACCACTCACTTGCCAGTGACTAAACAAACCAGTTTCTGACTCTTAGTTTATCCTTCTGTGATGTGAGGAGGACCTCGTTCTCTCTGGGACCCCTTCTAGCTGATCCAACTGTAAACCCTGGAGTGTGTCCTGGAACTAGGAGCTAGGGGGGTGTGCTAACCACCAGGCATAACGCAGCCCAGACAGCACCCGTGGAAGACACAGAAGGCTGAATCGTAAAATGTATATCCCTTTTCCGCTATACCCCGAAGAAGCGGCGGAGAAAGATTAATATAACATCAGCTGAGAGGGCTGGGTCTGGAAGAATGTTCCCTGCACACTTCAGGAAGAAGGCTGTTTGCGGGCATCGATGCTAGGACACTGGCAACAGCTCTCGTGTTCCCAGGGTACGCAGTGGAGGTCACGCAGGGTGACACAGGACAGGGCTCCTGGAGGACCTGGCTCGTGTGTTCCACGCAGACCCAGGAAATGGGACCCACCCTCCTGTGACCTGTGCCGGGGCGGAGTGTTGGCCTCCTTGTGAGTGGACTCCCACAGTGCCCGGATGTCACTGCCTTGATGTGCAGCCCCAACCAACAGGTGATCAGAGACTGAAAAACACACTACCAACAAAGCCCTGCCTCACCCTCTTGCCCTGAAGGGCTTACCACGACACCAGGCAAATGAGACTGATCTGGGGGCCAGGGACTAAAAACCCAGCTCTCAGGCCCACCCTGCAGATGGTCGCTGCTGCTGAGGGGGATGAAGGGAACATTCAAAGGAGGGATTGACTGCCTGGCCTCCAGAGTCCCAAGTAGGATGGGGGCCGGGCAAAAGAGGGGCTGTGAGGTGCCCACACCTGACTTAGCGGCCCAGCCTCCTGGGAGGGTAGGGAGGGGAGCTGGGAGGAGTGGGTGGTAAGCAAGTACACTAGGGGGGAAGGAACTTAGCTACTTTTCATCTCGGAGCCGGAGTTTCCTCACCTGTATGAAGAGGATGATGAAACCAGCCGGGCCACCAGAGGCTGGCAGCGGGCACACTAGGAGACCAGACCGGCGGCTGCTGATTTACTCAGGCTCTCTCTTCCCTGCGGTTCCCACCCAGCACCACCCAGCTCAGGTCCCGGCAGCAGAGGATGGCTCTCCGCACTACCACAAATGCAAGGCGCTGTGCCTTCCTTGAGTCCGTAAGCAGCCGAGATCACACGCTGCACTTCGTCCCATGTCTCATTGCTTAGCATAAAGCTGTGCAGACAGCAAGGACGGGGCAAGTGAACCTCCCTAGGGATTTCGTAACTGATGGCGTGAAGCAGGATTTTCCCTGTTTGGCTCGTAATGGACACGGGGACCATTTTGAGCCTTTTGGGGTCTGGTTTTAGAGAGCAGTAAGAAGTATGAAAAGTTACCCCGCTAGTCTCTTGAAGAGAACAGAGCCATGCCTCTTACCGTGTACCCCAGCTGCGTGGGGCCTCCAGCTGCCTCCCCAAGCTAACAGACCTCGCCCCTCCTCCACTCCCCACGCCACACCTGAGGCCGGGGGTGCTGGCCCTACCTCTGGAAATCCTGCCGCAGCAAAGCCCCGCTCCTCTGGGAGCCCTGCCCCAGCCCCTCTGTGCCACCGCTCCCCGCCCCCTCAAGCCAGGATTTGATGAATGCTGGGCAGTCTCTCCCTTCCTTGATCCTTTCTTCATTTAAACATACTGGTATAGGTGCGTTACACAAATAATGTGTGTTCTCTGCATTAAAGCCAGCCAGCAGCAATAAGCCCAAAGAAATTTCCACCATCCAGAGAGAACCACCATTTCCTACTGCTTTTCAGATTTTGTATGTACGTACATGCATACAGATTTGTTAAAGAACTGATCACAGTACACATACTACTTTGTAATGTTTTCCACACACTTTATAGGGAATATTTTCCATACCTGTTTCTACATTGTCATTTTTTTATATCTATTGCTTTTAATGGCACTTACAATCGGAAACCCTAATTTGCAGGTATGTGTGGACTTGCTTTGCCTCCCATATTAACCTAATGGTCTTCACGAGGGACTTTTGTTTTCCCGTCTGTAGCCCCCCACCTCGTGTGTAGCACCACCCCACAGTGCACACGTAGCCCACAGTTAAGTGCACAAGAAATACGTGGTGAATGAAGGAGTGTAATGGCCACACTGGAGGCTCCTGAATCTGAGACAGGATGAGAAACTCAGAGCTACCCAAATATGCTCCCTGGGGAAGGGGCACCCGCAGCCTCTAAACCAGCCGCTCAGTTCCAAGAGCGTGATGCCCTACAAGCAGCCCCACTGTGGGAACAACACACAGGCTTCCCAAATCAACGGAGTCTTTTCTTAATAGAAGCAGATACGAGGTCAAGGAAGCTGCGCAGTACTTACCTCGTTGACTATGTAATCCAACAACTCAAAAATTGCCATGGGAGGTCGGCTGTCCATTCCATACGCTACAGATTTTGTAACGAGAAAAAAGAAAACGCTTCTCAGAAAAACAGACAGGAGGTTATTTGCCAGTCTGACGCTAGGGACCGGGGGCATGGGTCCTGGGGACCAGAACAGGGTGGTGGACAATAAGCAGAGACACAAGAGCCCCAGATAAGGCCGAGGACAGAGGGGACAGCAAAGGCCACTGAGTCGGCCAGCTGGGTAGGAGCCTGGGCTCTGCCACCTGCAAGGTTTGCGACCTCAGGCAAATCCATGGGCTGCTGAGCTTAGTTTGGAGTTTGGTGAAGGGGAGATGGGTCACTATGTCCGCCTTTCTTCCCTTCCTTGTACTGAGAGAGGAGCAAATGAGGCGATAACTAAGGAGCTTGAGGACTTAAGTGTTAATGCTCCCTGAACTTGGGTTTCTTCCTTTTACTAAACTCGAGTCCCCAGCCAGCCTCAGGGGCCACAGCCACGAGCCCCTCCCGGGACCCACCATCAGCGACCCCTGCCCTCTGCTTCTCCCTTCACATACACCCTCTTCCATGAGGGCCTCAGGGACAGGCCTTCCTGGTCACAAAGCAATGTCCCGGCAGGAATTACATCAGAAGATGGTGGCTCGGCCAGCACCTTCCCAGTACCAGGTTTACTTCCCAGTATTCGTGATCAGAGAGGCAAGCGGTGCGGCACAGCACTCGGCACCTAGGACTCAGGCGTGGACAATGACATATGTAGTCTCGACAAGTCAGGCACTTGGTGCCTCGGTTTCCTCACATTTAAGAGATTATAACAGTGCTCACACATGATTGCTATTAAAATTAGACAATACTGGACAAATCCATGGAGACAGAAAGTAGATGAGTGGTTGCCAGGGGGTGGGGGTGGGAGGAGTTGGGAGTGATTGCTCATGGAGGTGAGGTTTCTTTTTGGGGTGACAGAAATATTCTGCAATTACACAGTGGTGATGATTACACAACATGGGAGAATATACTAAAAACCACTGAACTGTCCACTTTAAAATGTGCATTTTATGTTATGCGAACTTTATCTCAAAGAAAATCTACCTAAAAACCAGTCAGGATTTTTAAAAATTAGGTAACGCATATAAAGTACTAAATGCAGTGCCAGGAACACAGTAGGCACTCAACAAAGGGTGGCAGGCTGTCCACGGAAACAATTTAACACCCACCTGGAGACCCCTGCTCTGCTTCTCCCCCCTTCCCCCAGCCTGGCATCCAGAGACAGACAATCAGTCTTGGGAGAGTGTTCGGAGAATCAGCCCCCCAGAAACCACAGCAGCAAGGGCAGTCCAAGCTGGGGCCACTCACAGCTGAGGGGCCTTCCAGGGGTCCTCGGCCTGGGTGGCGTCTCAGCCGCATCTCCCTCCACTTGGCACCCAAACATCAGCTCCAGCTCCTTGGCATCGGGAGGAGGGATGGGATACCTCCCGACTGCCATCTCAACCAGAGATAGCCCCATGCTCCAGATGTCCGACTGCACGGAGTAATGAGTCCCCTGGAGTCTTTCTGGCTGCAGGAGAAGTGGACACAGTTATGATCACCTGTGAGATCATCCAGGCCCACACAGAAGAGGGACAGGCGAGTCTCCATGGAGGCTCCAGGGAGATCTCAGGACTCCCTGCCCCTCTGAGGCTTGCCTGCACCACAGGGAGTGGCCTGTCCTGCTTGGTCCGGGTCCTGGTCCTGGCCCCGGCCCCGGCCCTAGATCTGCTGATGCATTTTGTCTTCTTTGGAACTTCCACTAACTGCTTTCACTTGGTTTCTGACCTGCCCCCAGCTACTGCGTTTAAACCCTCTGATCCACGCCTCCTCACTGCCATCTCCCTGTAACCTGCCCTCGCTAACAGCCTCTGGCCTGGCTGGACCCTGGCTGCCACTTCAGCTGGGGCTCCAGCTTTGCCCAGTCTGGTCACTGTCTTGCATGTGCAGCACAGCTTGTCCAAAGCCCAGCTGCGAGGTTCATGTTGTCACCTTCATCTGAAACATGAGGCTTCTGGAACATGGGTCACGAATGAAGTGTGCACAGGGTAGAAAGAACACCGGCCTTGAGGGGCGCCTGGTGGCTCAGTCACTTAAGCATCCAGCTTCAGCTGAGGTCATGATCTCACGGCTCATAGGTTCGAGCCCTGCATCAGGCCCTGTGCCAAGAGCTCAGAGCCTGGAGCCTGCTTGGGCTTCCGTGTCTCCCTCTAGCTCTCTGCCCCTCCCCCACTCATGTCCTGTCTTTCCCTCAAAATAATAAACATTAAAAAACAAAAACAAAACAAAACACCAGCCTTGAGAGTCAGGAGAGCTGAGCTCTAAGACCAGCTCCACCACTGACTCACTGACTGTTCCTGAACAACATGGAGCAGGAGAAAAGGCAAAGGATCTGGGGTCAGGAGACTCGATCGAGTTCACGCTCCAACTCTGCAACTTGTAAACTGTGTGATCCTGAGCCTCAGTTCCCTCATCTATAAAGTGGAGCTGATGAACACGGTGTTAACATCAATAACGACATAACAAAATATCTGCTCTCCTTACTAGGGTTACCAAGAAGGTCAAACCAAACGAAAATGTATGTTCGATGCTGCAAAATGCTACCCAAGTATGGGTTGAGTCGGAAGAGTCAGGAAAAAAATATATGGTGCTATACAAAGCATTATTTTTATTCAGTGTTAATTGAAATAGCACATATATTTCAAGAACTCTACAAAAAATCTTTATTCTGACAATTACACTTTTTTTTAGACATCATTAATGTCTCCCAAGGGATTTTTTCACTAACTCAAATACTGGACTATTTTGGAACTGACCATGTAACCACAAAGACCCAAACCACTAACCCTGGATCAATAGGTCCTGCAGTGTGTTGACTGATTTCGAACTTTGCGGTTGGCAGTTGAGTGGTCCAGAATGCTAGCTGCTCAGTTCTTAGACTGAGTGAGGGGACTAACTGGCAAGGAGACCTGGCTTTCAGTCCAGGCTCTGCATCTGGATTTCCTCATCTCTAAAATGGGAGCGATATCTTCACTTTCACAGGGCCACCACACAGACGAGAACACAGAAAACACGATGTGCCGGGATGCCCCAGCCTCTGTGCCTGCCCCTCCAATTAACCCATGCCTACACTCACTGCCCCCTCCGTACAGATCCCCACTCACCCTAGCACTCCTCTATCTGCCCCACGCCAGCACTCACCCAGTGTCACACTCCCCCCTTTCTGAATCGTTCTCTGGAGCACACTAGCCATTTACTCACCAAGCGCTCCCTGGGCACCTACCACATGCCAGGCCCCGAGCCAGACCCTAGGGACAACTGAGACACCTATGGCCCTATTCTTGTCCTCCCGGAGCTCATGGCATGGGGGAGAGAAGAGAACATGGCTGCCACCTCCTTGGGGAGGGACCATGATGCCTCATCCTTCATTCTTTCTCCCCCACCTCTACCACCCAGGACAGGTTCTGGCTCTACAGGGGAAGCCACCCACTTGGCTCCTATCCCTGACCATGCAAGACATGTGAGAGATGGAACCCACTGCTCATACCGACATGTAGGACCTTGTGCCCACGAAGGAGTTGGCCATGGAGTCGATGAGCTGCCCGCTGACCCCAAAGTCACAGAGCTTGATCTCCCCACGAGAGTTCACTAGGATGTTGGAAGGCTTGACATCTGCAGGGGAGGCAACAAAGAAAAGGAGGGAGTTGACACAGGTAGATCGGGGAGAGGGAGGAGGGTCAGCATTCTATAGACAGACCAGCCCCAACCGTGAGTCCAACGACGGCTGCCATCACTAAACCAGCCCTTGGCTTGCAAACACTGGACACCAAGGTCCCTCATTCCCCCTAGTTCAGGGTTCGAGAAAAGACTGTCAGGAGAGGAAATAACAACCTGTTGTACAAGTAGGACAGAAAGTCAGTGGATTTTCACTCTTTGAGAATACAGGCCTAAACACATGACCCACAGGAAAGACTCCCATTATCAGGAATAATCAAGATTTCCAAGTTTGTTGTTTCAATCACCCTTCTTGGCAAGATACAGTATCTATGGTTGGATCATAAGGCAGGAAGAAAAAAAAACAAATAATAAGACCTATTTGCCTGCTGAGGCTCAGACCAAACACTAGAGATGGGATGGGGGCAGGAATTCCTATGTTTGACCTAGATACCAAGCACAAAGCTGTGGCAGGGGTTGGAAGCTGACTTAATCATTTTCAGTGATGTCATTTCCCAAACAGCCTCCACAGCTGCAGCCAGCTGTCAGTCAAGGACAGTCCCTCGCTGCCCTGTGGGGACCAGTCAGGGCAGTGCCACGGAACCAGCCCCAACCCCTTCCCCGCACTCGGGCCCTACCCACTTCCCACCCAGCTGCCACATCACTACTAGTCCACTGACCCTTCCCTTTGCAGAGGGAGGTAAACTTCCCAATGTTCTTCTTCTGCCACCTTCCCTGATTCAAACAACTGCCCTACAGAGTGGGCAGAGCGGGGTCAAGTGTTCTCACTTACAGGTGGGAAAATGACGCTGGAACTTGGTAAAAGTCCCCAGGCCAGGGTTTTGTGGGCACACATCAGCAATGAGACCCATCAAAGAGCAGTCCATACCCCGGGGCAAAAACATAAACCGGGACAGGCAATCGATCTCTGACGAAGTAACAGAGACACCATATAGAGCACCTGGAGAATTACAGGAACAAACCAAGTCCCCATAATTCAAACCTATTAGAACTACTATTCCCATTTTATTATTTTTTCCCTCGGTACCCTCAGATGAATGCATTTACGTGCACACCTCGGAGATGTGGCAGCTTTGGCTCTCTGCCTCTGCAATAAAGTGAATATCGCAATGAAGAGAGTCAAATGAATGTTTTGCCTTCCAGGTACATACAAAAGTTATGTTTACATTAGGCTATAGTCTGTTAAATATACAGCGTCATGTCTAAAAAAATGATGTACACACCTGAATTTAAAAATACTTTATTGCTAAAAAATGCTAACTGTGGGTGCCTGGGTGGCTCCGTCGGTTATTAAGTGTCCAACTCTTGATTGTGGCTCAGGTCACGATCTCGTGGTTTGGGAGTCTGAGCCCCACATCAGGCTCTGCAGTGCAGAACCTGCTTGGAAGTCCCTCTCTTTCTCTGTCTTTCCCCTACTCATGCCCTCTCTCTCAAAATAAAATAAACATCTTTTTTTTAAAAAACTGCTAACCATTTTAGCCGGTCATAATCACAGATCACCATAAGAAATAAAATAATGAAAATTTGAGCGATTTAAGAACTACCAAACATGACCCAGAGATATAAAGTGCACAAATGCTGTTGGAAAAATGGCATAGTCTTGCTTGACGCAGGACTGACACGAACCGTCAGTAAACAATGCAGCACCTGCAAAGCATAATAAGATGATATATGCCTGTATTTATCCTTAAACAGACTCGAACAGTCTACGTAAGTATCTTTCCAAGGGTAAAGTGAAAAAAAAACTCACCCTCTCGCATCCCAGTAACTCCTTCCCTTGCCCCCCACCGCCCCCGCATTTCCAAGGCTGGGTCAGGTCATAAGCAGTGTTCAGCCAGCTCAAGCTTCTCTGTACCCATCACCAGCTCCACCAGGGGAGGGCTGCTGGGTGCCTGCCCCCGTAACCCCCAAGCCAGGACAGTAACTGGCACACAGTAGGTGCTCCTAAATACTCGTGAATGACCGGCTCTGAACTCACCGGGTACATACGCAAACACTCCGAGCCACTGGTGTGTCTTCCCAAGACCTAGCCTTCATCATGGCACAGGACACGAGATCTTTCCAAACCCCTTGTCATGCTCCTTATGTCTCCTACATACAGACTTCTAGAATGCAGGCATCAGAAGTAGCCTTAGAGGGAGTCTGGTTCCTCCCCTTCAGCTGAAGGCCCAAAACGGTCTAGGAACTTGTCCAAGGTCACACTGCAAAAACTGGGTGAAGCTGGACCCAGAACTCGGACCTTCTCTGACACCTAGCTTGTCCTCTTCCCACCCAGCCCACCACCGTATGACGCAACTCTGTTCCACCCACCCACTTATGTTCGCCGAGCCCTACGCTGTGCCAGGGTCCATGCAGACAC